AGCGTATATATCTATACATGCGTATCACGGTTTATTCTCCGTCCTGTTAGAGGAGAGATACATCAACATCATACCATCAAGCAAGAAACACACACTCACCTTCTTCTGTGAAAGTTGCTCAAGGAAACCTAGGGTATCAGCCTTTTGCTCAGCCTCGGCACGGGATGGCTAAGGGGGATTCAGTCAACCATATTCTCAACAACACAAACCCGCACTCACTCGGTTTGAAAGCTGCGTAAACGCATTCAGCGCCTTATGCTGCGCAGGGTCAAGCGGCTGGCGTCGAGTCGGCAAAGGCTGAGGCTGCGGTGCACGCTGAGGCTGCGAAGCGGAATTGCTCGTCAGGTTATTCAACATGCTCAGCACATTAACATTCCTCGCCGCGCGCTCTGATTCCGTCGGTGGTCGAGGCGGCAATCCCCTCGCAGGTGTCAGCGGCGCCGGACCAAAGTCCTCGTCCATCTCGTCAATCTCGTCAGGCAGGAGCGGGCCATAATCCTCAATGAGCTCTTCGTGGTTCACGATATAATCCGCGATCCGCGACGTATCCGGGCCGTTCTTGAACTCCATAAAGTCGAACGTGTCCATGGACGGCGCGCGCCCGACGGCATCAACGTTGTTCTTGTCGGACATGTAGCGCGGGTCCCAAGGGAAGTATGGGTAGTAGTCTTCCAGCTGCTTGTCGGTGGTGACCGTGGCGCGCATGCGGATGCCCTTGACACCGCTGGCATTGAGGCCGACGGTGCGCGGAAGACTGTTGATGGTGACCATGCCGGGCATGAGGCGCATGTCGTGCATCGATACTGCGTTGGCGATCCTGGGTTCGGTGGTAGTCATGCCCTCCTTGGGATCGTAGAGAGTCTCCTTGCCGAGCGGTATGACGGGTATGGAGGCGCGCAGACCACCGAACGAGACCATGTGGCCCGAACCGTAGCCGGCTTGGGGGGTGATGAAAGCGCGGTGCTCAGCACTCGTGTCGGTCTGGAGTAAGATGCCTGGCTCCATCTTTGCGAACATGTACGAGTGCAGAGTGCTAGGGTGATGGTAGAGCAGTCCACCTATGCGGTGGGGCTGGGGTTCGATTTTCTTGGAGTTGCTGCTCTTGAACTCGTTAAAGGTGACCTCTTCGAGGAAGCGCCGGTGTAGATTTTCGGTGGTCTGGGCGAGCGTGAAGAGGTCCCTGTCGTTGTGCTCCTCGTAGCGCTTTCGAAGGAACTCGCGGAATTGGGGTCTGAGCTTGCGCGTGCGCTCGACGAACTTTTCGAATTCGGCCTCGGACATGGCCTCGATGTTGGGACTGAGTCCGGATGTCGTGACCGCGATAGCGTGGCGCGCTTTCTCCACATCCGCCATCTTGGCGCTCACACCACCCAGGTCCGACATTATCGGGGCCACCGGCTCCTTCAGCTTCTCCTTGACAAGGTCGTCTATCGACATGCTCTCCCTTTTCTCCGGGCGCTCCATCTCGTCGCCGAATTCGGAATCAATGAGCCAGTCGGTGGCCGTCTTGGAACTCTGGTTTTTGTACCACGCAGAGGCATGTGGTACGCTGGCATTTGTGTCCATCTCCTCAAAGCGGCGGATGAACCGGACCTGCGACTCGCCCTTGACCCACTCGACGTACTGCTCCCGGGCGTCGAACGGCGCGGTCAGCGTGATAAAGGCATTCTTGCGGCGGATGGTAAGGGGGCGCTTGAGACCAAAGTCGCCGCGGTGGGCATGAGCTTTTGGCGCGGAATATGTCTGTCGGATGTTGGGGTCGAATGCAGCAAAGCGCGACCGGCGCAGTAGTTTCGCAAAGGGTGATGCCGTAGGCGAACTGCTCGACGCCACGACGTGCGTTGCAGTCGCCATTCCCTACTTGACGCGCTGTCAGCCACGACGAGCAGCTCATATTATAGACTTACCGACAGCGTTTTCGGAAAAAGACGCGGCTCGATCGTCTGCCCAAAACGGAACTCTAAGCGGAGTCTGAACTTCTCCCTATATAGAACCTTGACCAAAAATTATTTTCTTCTTTATAAAATCCACGACGTCCAAATTACCATCCTTCCGCCGCCTCGGCGACTTTGCAGGCGGGGTGGTCCAGACAAACGTCGGAGATGGACGCGGGCTCTCAAAAACAATCTTTGCTGACGTTCCTCCCACTGGTCGAGGGGCAAGGACGCATGATCACCTGGAGTGGCTCTACATATCCTACCACCGTGTTTTCCTCCTGTAATGTAAGTAGTTCAATCCATTTTTCTTTTTTTCCTTTTCTTTTCGTGGTCGATGAAGATAATCCTGGTAAAGGAACACGCCCCGCTCGCAAGAGTCCCACTGTCGTTGGGTATCGAGGCTTTCTCTTCGAGAGCCAGATGGTTGGGCGTGGTTGGAGAATGTAAGGCGAGGCTGAGACCACTACTCTTTTTCCTTCTCCTGAGCTGTATGTTGTTCCCTCGCTCACCTCATTCATAGGTTGTACGTAGTTCAGGTCATGTATACTACCTCCCATGCAAATATCAGTTTATTGTCCCATCCTCGCGTGCCATCTTGAACCGCCTGCGTCAGCATTCTCCTTCCCCGTGGACTCTCGCTCGTCATGGCCTTTGTTTGCCAGCCTATGACTGCAGTTAAATGTTGCTTCAGCGTCTTTCGATTATTTCGGATTATTCCCATGAGCAGCGTTAGGCAAGCATCGACGCCAAAATCATGATATCGAACTTCAGCGCTGGGTCGAGATCGTGCAAGAGACAACAGACGAAATCTCCGCGAAACTTCATCCAATGTCAGATGGCGAGGAATCTACAGGGTCATAGGCACAAGCTCGAGTTGTATTCAAGTCCCAGTCTACTCTTCGTACCTCGAAGGTGCTGGTGCTGCTGGGTGTATTCTCGGCGCCGCGAATAAGTCGCCCATTCTCCCTGATATCTACCGGTAGGAATTGGAGCGACTGAACGTTACCGCGGGGAAGTGGCAGCCCCATAGTCGTCACTGGAATCATTATACGGTCTCGACTAGGGCCACCAACAACACCGCCCTACCACGTTTACGAAAGACACCAAGCACGACTGCCATAACCACCTGATGTACGTTTTTCTACTTTCACCATGTCACCATGGCTGCTCTTGATGGTATGTTCGATATTATGAACGTGCCCGTTAGTGATCGCGATTGGCGTGACGATAACCGTCCGCGAAGAACGTTGAACCTCCCCGACTTTGCAGGCGGGAATTCATTCAGCTTCGCGGATTCTCCGGCCTTACAGTACATCGACGAAAAGGTTCCAATTAAGCGGTCTTCCAACTTGTCACCTTTCCGGTCGTCTGCGCTACCACGTTTACGAAGAACAATGGCATCACGACTACAACAATTCCATACCCCAGAGCGTTCAGATCGGCCTGGACATAGAGGTTACGTGCGGTGCGTACTTTGATCAACCATCACTTGCAGCCCTACCACGCTGGACTGTTTACGTGCATCTCTTTCAAGAATATGGAATCTAGGATATGGTCATTCGAATCTCAAAGTGGACGATAAGGTGAGCTGTGAATCGTTTTCGCTTAGAGTTGACAGTTGTGATTTGGCTAGGGTGGTAGAGGGAGAGGAATATGTTCCCTACGACAGTACGTGGTGGACGGCAGTATTTGTGAAGGAGACCAAGTACAAGTTCTCCATCGATATTTGACCCCTGGGCGATTGCGCTCGTGGCGGACGCGACGATAAACGGTGGCCATGGAGCACGGTCGAGCGCGGGCTTTCTAGGCAGAACGTTGGCATCTTCCATCATATAATCGATGTCAAATTTGATGGACTGCACAGAGTCAAATAAAGGCTGGCTTTGGTAGGCCCATGTTCTTACTAACGAATACTTACACGTTTATGTAGCTCCATCGTCCCATACCATATTTAAGTTTTCGAAAAGCACAGTCTAGCTGATTTATTGATATTCAACCTCGGAGCGGGGTCGTTGGTGGACCGAGATCTATGCGACGACGAACGTCTATCGGGTATGGAGATGGCGCAAAGACGAGAGGAATCTATATGGCCGTCGGGGGGCTACATCTATAGGATTCGGGAAGTCATGCGGGAGGAAATGTCTGTCGTAACGTCGTATGTTTCTCCGGTGAGTGTGCATATATGGCGAGTTGTTTTGATTCTGCGGACAGGATGATTGTGGGGGGCCGCGAGCGGGTGGAGGCTGGGATGGTTGTTGTCAGAATATGGAATGCACTCCGTATCGAGTATGGCTCCGAGCTCATCAAAGAGCGTTTTCATTCCGCTGCGGATATAAGTATGTCGTTGCAACGCATGCGGGAGATGTGAGGGTACTCTGCATGGAACATCAGTGAGGGTCGCCCGTTCCTATATCCAACTTCTCCATATCCTGATGGGTATTCGAGCGACAATCGAAGTCTTGACACCGCTTGTAGTCTTCACTGGGGCCGACCTCTGAGAGATCGTCTTCAATTCATCACATCCGGTTCGCTTGCAATATAGACCATAACCTCCTGGACGTCAATTGGCCTCATGAAAATTGCGCTAGACATGGCGACGTGACACGGATGTTAGGATCATACGATATTGATACTTACTTGGTCTATCTTTCTTACGCGGGATCCCCTGCCGGACAACAAGGAGACCATTGTCACCAACCTTTGAACAAATTGGAGTATCCGGGCTTCGCAGGATATGGCACTCACTCAGTGTTTGCAGTCTGCCGGGACTGTTTATATGACTCTTCAATGGACGAATCTCCATTTCCGATGCAGTACCTAAGAAGCCCTTAGCACGCGATGCAAGTAAGTTAATAGTTACGCCACATGTGACTTTCGTACTATGAAATATCAAATGAACTCTATATGCCTAACTTGGGAGAGACAACACGAGGTGTTTATGTTTAGTTTATGATAATCACCATTACATAGGGAGAAGTCGAATATTCGTTTTGAAATGCCATCGTATTTCGTACCCATGCTTTACCGAACGGTCAAGGGGATTGCCGAGCACTGCGAAATATCGCTTCCTTGGCTCAGTTGGCTAGAGCGCCAGTCTCATACGTATGAGTGAGCGTTGCTCATCTAATCTGGAGGTCGCAAGTTCGAGCCTTGCAGGGAGCACTAGTTTATGCCGGCGGTTCTTTTTAGCCGCCACTACCTCTCGAGTCTCCTGCCGCCAGACCTGATACCTCCGGGAGTCCGGGAGTTATCAGTAACAGTATCGATACCAAGCCCTGATTGTGAAACCTATAAGAGTAACTGTTCCGACACCGGTACGTGATGTGGCGCAGCAGATCGTCGCCCCCATCCCGCCCTTTTCTGTCACTTTCTGCATTACCTAGCACCTATGAGCATGACCCATCAAACTACCGTACCGATCCTAAATGTTTGAAAACCATATGATTGTAATTCAGGCTACTTGAAGTCCAAAACTAGTCTACTGTCTCGCAAGTTACACCTGGAGCCTAATCATCGACTCGGCTGGCAACACCGGAAATTCGGTTACAGAACATTCATAAGCGATGAATGCCCAAGAAATAGTACTCTTCGTCACAGTCCTGCTGCCCCCCTGCTCAATATCGTCAAGAAATGCCGACTTGTGTAGCCCGCATCCAAAATTCCAAAACAAGAGTCTGCCTGTCCCCAACGTTTTGCGTCGCCGTCTGACGGACTTCCTTGATCAGATACAACGCAACGCTGAGGCATCTCGGTGGTGAGTTTCCTGTTCATCGATGGCATGTTCCTTCTTCGTCACTTTCCTAATCATCACCTTTCTGCTGCCAAAACACTGTTGGCGAGAAATCTCCGAGTACGTTCTTCAAGAGGAGGATCAGTTGATTGATGATTGATGCGAGTCCTTAACATGCCCGCGTTAGTGCTGAATTTGAAGTTAAAGCATACGAGCTTACTGCGAATGTCGCATGAGAGCCCTTTATCGCTGTCAACGTTTTCTCTTCAAGGAAACAGGCCTTGGGAGACGCCTGCTGCTTCAAGTGGTGCTCAATAGAGTCCAAGCGTAGATAGATCTCATCGCATGATTGTTTCGTTAGACTGAATGCGTTCGTCGCGGTAACCTCTGTACGAACAAGAGCCTTCATCTAAGAACCGGTTCAATCATTTGCCAGACTCGCAGCATCTCAACGTACGACAAACCGCAAAAAGAGCGCTGAGACGTCGACTTCGATTTGCTTCAGGTCCAGGACGATATCTGCCTTGGTCCGTCCCCGGAAACGCGCCTTGAAGCGACGAACACGTTGACGGGGATCCGTTCCAATGGCCCCGTCGCGTGTCCGTCCTGGAATATCGTGCAATGCTTCGTAAAGGAAACGCTCGGCCCTCCCCTGGTCCAGACGGTTGGGAAAAATGGTGTGTGAAAGCGCTGAATGACCGAACTCTAGCACTAATCATTACTCTCCACGACTACATCGTTGAAACGGCGCGTTTTCCCGGTAATATCAAGGACGTGTGGGCAACAGCGTTGTACAAGCGAGGCCTTCGCACCGACCTGTCCAATTATCGTGGGTTGCAGATATCAAATTTTCTCGCGAACTCACCGATGACCTGGCTAAACTACTGCCTAACTCCCTATGTTGCTCGACTCAGTATCATCCCGGAGACGCAAGTCGCGACACAGCAGGGTGTACAGGCAAGAGATCTCATTAGCTTCCTCTCGGGCATTAAGACTTGGGCTCAACGTCACAAAACCGAAGTCTGGTGTCTCAAGCGCGACCAGATGAAGGGCTTCGACTACCTCGCGCCTCAGGGATTCCACGATGCTATCACTGCCTACGGATTGCCCGCCTCGATTATTGAACTCGACCGTGCTGCTCAGGACAATGTTAAATGCTCGATACGGACGGCACACGGCATGACTGACCCAATATTCATCTCTGGGGTAACTAAACAGGGTGGTCCTCTTTCTCCGCTCAAGTCGACGCTGACGACTAGTCTTGGACATCGCTGGCTCTCTGATTTGGCTACTGACAGTGAGGGCAGTCTCCTTCTACGATCTTCGAATGCAGAACGCGGTGATTTGCATCTTCCTAATGATGAAACTGAGCTCAGAATATTGATGGCTGAAGCGATGGACGACTCCTACCTCTTTGCGCGCGACGAAGCTGGCCTCATGTACTTCACCCTGGCTATGGAGCGCTTTCAGTTTGCATACGGATGGCTTACTCAATGGAAGAAAACTGAAGCTTACGCGCTGGGACTACGACGCGAGATACCCGACACAATTTATATGCCCTCCATCACGAACCGAGCCAGTGTTAGCCCGATGACGATAACTCTTCACGCTGTGCCGGTGGTCAAGGACGAGCTCGAATTTCTGCGCGCTAAGGTTGACGATCCCACTGCACGCTTTAACGAACTGAAATGCTTTATTGACGAGTTTAAGATGCCTAAATTCGCTCTGCGTACACCAATAACGCTGATACGCAAGATACTTGTCCAGAATGTCTTGTCTCGCGCGCGCGCTCTTCTCGCTTTGCAACCAATCTCTCAGGCCGATGCTGAACGGCTCGACTCGCTTATCGCCCTGAAGACGCATGAGCTGCTAGGCTTCCCATACCGCCCATCTTCGAAGCTACTCACCTTGCCTATTACGGCGCACGGCTTCGAATTCCCGTCAATCGCTAATGTAAACGCCTCGTTGGCTGTTGAAGGGCTGGTGCGTGATTTAAATCACCACGTACCTGCCTATCGCAAAATGGCGCGGATTACCCTTGCTGACTGGCAGTGCTCGATTAACGGCTGCGCCAGTCCACTTGACGGTGCCGGGCTTAGTCGTGGGTTCTCGCGTTATCGTGGGCGTCTTCCAATGGCCTGGATCTCAGCCCAACAGGCGATGGGAAGTTCCGGCGTCAAGTTGGGCCTGCGGTCGACGGACCAGAGTCATGTCCTGCGTGGAGATATGAGTTTGACGCATGTGTCGGCAGTATGTCGTGCACACGGGAAGGACGTACCGCACGGACGTGTTTGGTTGTCTCTGCGAAAAAAGGGGGTGAGTTTACTCCGTCATGCTGGTGAATGGAATGCTCGCACCTTCTCTCCACGCACAGACCCACCGTTCCCTACTCATCGTGCGACTGATCTTGGTGCATCCGTGGCCTGGCAGAGGATGGTCGACGTCTTCGAAAATGTCCCGCTGTCATGGTTCTATATCGGATCAGAGGATTTGGTGAGGCCTCGGGAGGAACGTCGTGTAGCGGCTGAAAGCTGGATCCGCTGGCTCGCGGCGACTTCGCAGATGTCGGCGTCGAAGGTCAAGTCTCAAGAGAGTGATGTCACGATGTGGGCATCTGACGGATCAGCAAGTCCGGCATCAGCGGGACTTCTTGACCCAAAAACTCTCATTGCGGCGGTTACAGGACCTCGGACTCTTGTCATGCGCGTCGCTGGTACCGCTAAGTCGATCCTGCATGCAGAGGTATTCGCTCAGATCATGGACTCGCTGATAGCTACCGACATAGACAACATGGGCCGTCATCGACTACTTACAGATCACATGAACTCGGTTCGACTTGTTGACGACTCTCAGACGGTTGTAGATATACAACCGCGTCTCCGAAACTTACCTGGGCGCTCATACTATCGGTGGCTATTGTCTATTCTGCAACGAAACCGGCATATGCATCTTGAGTATACTAAAGCTCATACTGGTGGAGATTCTATAGAGTCGCGCCTCAACGATGAGGCTGATCACTACGCATCTGGCTCTCATGCTGTTTCAACTCGGCTCCCTATCGCTCCCGAACCAACCTTCTTCATGAACGACTACACGTTCTTCTCTGATGATCATGGCTGGATCGAGTCTGACATCAAAACTTATCTCACCTCCGTCTTCGCTCGTCGAACGTCCCGCGAGTTCGGATATGGACACAAGCATCGGATGGCCACTTGGCTATACGATAAGCGTCCTCCTCCTTCCTTTCCATACACTCACGCAGTTTCAGCATACTCGGCGGCGGTACAGCTGTACGCAAGATCGGGTCAACTGCCGAATGCCGAAACAATGCATTCTTGTAGCTATCTAGCGTCAAATCTGTGTCGCTTTGGTTGCATCGCAATCGAGGACATGCATCACACATTTGTGTGTTGCCCTCAATTCTCGACATACCGCGCGGATGCGCTGAAGGATGTTGAGCGGGTAACCGAGAATGCAATCAAGACCGGCGACAAGGACTCCAAAGTGTCCAACTTTCCCTTGCTTAAACATGCGGCTGAGTCCCTCTTCCTGTTAGCGACTGACTAAGCCACGAGACTCAACCAGGTACCACAGCAAGAAACTAAAAAAGAAAACGTTCGCGTTCGTAAGACTAGGCTAGGCCAGGTGTATAAACGAGATCGGAACTAAAGTACAATGATACTACACTACTGCTTATATACTAGTAAGCCTGTGTTTGGGACTCCTTGTTCATACGTGTTTCCGCTGGGGATAACTCCACGCCCTTGACCCAGTGTTGTATGCTACTAGTCCGTGAAACCATTAAATACGAGTGGTAACTGCATGTAAGTAATAATACTGAAACAACCATGTGTGCTACGAGTGTCGGTGGTGTGTATACAATGGGGAATCCATGAGGTGTCGGCATGTATGATGTCATCCATGTGTTAGGCGTGTGTCCAACATGAGTACGGCTTCGATAATGAACAGGAGTATGATCGGTGACGAAACAGATGATGAAACAGTCCGTTGGTTGATAAGACAAGGCCCCCGATAAGATATGATAAGATGTGAAAGTGTGAAAATATGGCCATTCATAACATCACCCCCTCCTTAAGGCGCAAGTTCCATTCTGCGCCAGATTTGCTCCATGAGGGCCGCAGAGGGTAGCGTGACGTCAAGAGGTTCGGTGTCAGGCGGTGGCATGGGTCGGAATAGATGTGATGGAAATTGCGACATGGGGACTTCAATGCGAGCAAGCGCGGGTGGCTTCGGCTTGTTCGGATATTGTTGGTGGAAATCGCTGATAGCTTCGTCGGCATTTTTGAGATTGCATGCCGGTTCCCATGTCTGCTCGTGTGTGCCATAACCCTTCCAGTGAACCTTGTATTGAAGACCCCCGCGGTACTTTCGGGAATTAACCACTTTCTCAACCTCCCATTCCGGTTCGGCT